CTGGCTACCTCGGCCCTGCGCCCCCCTTTGCCCACGACGTGCTGGGCCACAGTGCGCGGCGGGCCAGCGACCCGGTGCGGCGGCTGGATCTCGCCCCGCTCCCGCGCGTGCAGCGCTTCCACAGCGCCAGCAACGTGAGTCCTGCTGCACTGCTGCCACCGCTGGGCCCAGAGCGGCCGGCCTTAGGCCTGCAGGGCTATCCCCGGAGCGAGGGCTGCCTGGCCGGTGGGACCTACTCCCCTCGCCCTCCCAGCATCAGCGAGAACGTGCTGATGGAGGCCATGGCAGCGGAGGCCGATGGCGGAGGGGCCGAGGACGACCTGGTGCTGCCGGACGATGTGGTCCAGTACCTCCAGGCTCGTGCCAGCGGCGCCTTGGAGGAGAGCGGTCCACAGGGCTGCCCCACCGAGAGTACAGGCTTCTCCCAGAACCTTAAGCTGCCCAGCCCCGGGCTCCACAGCCAGTGTCGGATGGTGGCTGTGGACTCCAACCTGGGCCCCTCGGGCCCTGGACTGGGTGGCTGCCAACGGGGCTTCAGAGCGACTGCCAGCCTGAACAAAAGCAACATGCCCGTGCAATGGAACGAGGTGAGCTCGGGCACCATGGACACCGTGCCCAGCCAGCTGAAGCCTCTCCCTTTCCCACAGGGCAACTTGGCTGTGGTGCCACCGAAGCAGACCCCTGGCCAGTACCCTGGCTATAGTCAACAGGGCTTACAGACTAGCCCACTGGGCCTGGACAGCTTGCAACCGCCCCTTCAGCCCCCCTCTGGGTCCAGGGTCAACTATGGCCAGCAACTTCAACAGTCAGCCACAAGTAGCCAGTGCCCTCATGTCACCACCGCAGCAAGCCCCCATTCCAACTATGGCCAGGGCCACTGTCAGCTGAGCCCAAGTACAGTGGGAGGGGCCCTGAACCACTTCTCCCCATCCTGTGGCAACATGACGGCCACGTCAGGCCGCCCAGGGCTTCCTCAGCAGGTGGATGCTGCTCCTGACCCCACCATAATGGATAGCAGCCACAAAGAACTTGGCGTCTCAAATTCTACCCTCGGGGGAGTGCCTGTTTCGTCTCTGCCATCCCAGAACTACCCACAACACAGCCAGCACCCGGTGGCCTCCAGGAGCCAGGCGAGCTACCACCAGAGCCCGCGCCTTCCCTCTTCACAGCAGCCTGGCGTCATGGGACCCCAGCAGAGCACGATGGGTGCGGCTGCAGCAAGCTTTGGCCTAGTGCAGCCCCGACCACCCCCTGAGCCCAGCCCGGCTAGCCGCCACCGGGGCATACGTGCTGGGCAGCAATTGGCCTATGCCAGGGCCATTGGTCAAGCAATGACTGCTGGGACAGCCAGCCAGGCAACAACAGAGGCCATGCCCAAGAGCGCGCCGGGCATTACCACACCTCTGCATCCACAGCTCCCCCCAGAGGACACAGGTGGGGCCCAGGATCACAGCCTGCTTTACTACTATGGCCAGATCCACATGTATGAGCAGCACGGAGCTGCGGAGAGCCACACGGACTGCCAGGTCACACAGACCCAATGCTGTCCAGACAGCCTGAAGCCCCAGCCCATGCCCTCACCCGGCGTCAACCAGGTGTCCAGCACTGTGGATTCCCAGCTCCTGGAAGCCCCTCAGATCGACTTTGACACCGTTATGGATGATGGTGACCACTCAAGCTTGCTTTCGGGTGCCCTGAGTCCCGGCCTTCTCCATAGCCTCTCCCAGAACTCCTCCCGCCTCACCACTCCCCGGAGCTCCCTGACTCTGCCCTCCATCCCCACAGGCACCAGCAACATGGCTGTCGGGGACATGAGCTCCATGCTCACCAGCCTGGCTGAGGAGAGTCGGTTCCTCAACCTGATGACCTAAGCCCCAGGCTGCCAGCGGGGCCAGAGGAACTGTTTCCCAGACCAGGAGGGCTTTGTCTCTCTTCTCTTTGCCCAAACAAGTATTAAATCGGTCCGAGGGATTTTTGCTAATGACGGGCTCAGACCACAGCTGCTTTAAAAGAAATCTCTTGTGTAGACGCTGGTCTCCTGGAGGCATTATTTGAACACTGACAAATGTGTCAGGACAGGAAGACAGAAATGAGAAACTCGTTTACACAACGCTCCCTGCCTGCAGTGTTCTATCGCCTTCGCCTGGGTCGCTGGCTAAAGAAGAAGGATGGCCTTGGCCGAGGCCTTTCAGGTGCTCAGGGCACGAGGGGAGGTAAGCCATGCTGGGTTTGAGTCTGAACGCTAGACAAGAGGTTGTGCTGCAGGAAATTCAGTTTCTCATCCCAGTCCCCACCAGGACAAGGAATTCCGGGTCAACCAGAATTCTTCTATGAAGCTTAATTTTCGAGGCCTCTCGTGTCACTTGCCAGCAAACAGCATCTACGGGAGTGATTCCAAAG